CTTTTAAAGACTTATTTAATGTTATTCATTCACTCATTTATTCTAATTCAACCATATATATATATATAGGGAGAGAGAGAGAGAGAGAGAGAGAAACCTGGTCCCAGATTCAAATGACGGTCAGCCATGTGGGAGTGTCCAGCGCTTTAACCACCACACCACCTGCCAGTCCGTATTTAAGTTATTATTTAATTTTCTATAGGGTACGTGCGCTCATCAAAGAGAGGAAGAAAGCATGTGCTCAAGACACCAAGTCTGGGACTCGAACCATGGTCAGCCATGTGGAAGTCCAGCACCTTAACCACCATGACACCTGCTGGCCCTCTGCATGGCACTTTCTAAGAGAATTCAAAGTGAAGTAAACTGCACCTGGGTTCCCTCCCAAACTTTCTTTTCTCCAGGGAACACAACTACTCCTTGGGCTTTTTTTTTTTTTTTTTTCTTTTTTTGAGAGGGGTTTTTGCTATAGGGCGCGTGTGCTCACCAGACAGAGAGAGACAGAGAGACAGAAAGCGAGAAATCATCCCCCAGGGGGCCATGCCGCAATCCCTTCTCCTCTGCAATCCCTTCTCCTCGATTCTCCTCTCGGGATCTTGGGCATGCACACACATGCGCCCAGCGTGAATTTTAAGTCACCGGGTCTGGGACGTGAACCACAGTCGACTACATGGGAGTCCAGTGACATAGCCATTATGCTAACTGTTGGTCCCTCCTCTGTTTTCTTTATGGGTCTGCCCAGGACAGTCAATGGCAGCCCCTCTACAACACATCAGGGGAGAAATGACAACTGTCACACACAGACACAGACTGCCCCGGGCTGGTACGAATCTGGTCCCAACCAAGGACCCCAACGCTAGGGACAGTTTTAGTAAGAACAGGTGCATCCCGAGGTCTCTTCCCTCATCCTTTAGCCTTCTCAGGGGAGGGGAGTGGGCCCTGCTGGTTTATCGCATCTGCTTCTTCCTCCGGCTGCTGACCACTTCTCTATTACTCCTTTGCCTTTCCGGCATCCCCACCCCCAACACTATCACTACTTCCTCCCATTCCAGTCTGCACTGCGATGGTCTGGGGGAGTCCCCCGCCTTCCTCCTCTAACAGGGACCTGCTATTGCTGCCCCACCCCCCTTGGCACCCGAAACTCCCACTGTTAGCTCAGGTTCCCCGGGGGACAAGTTTTCCGTTAAGTCGGAGTGAATTCTACCACTGATCCTGTGTGACCAGACAGGCTGCTGGCAGTGGGCCCAGTCTGAGCTGTCACATAGGTACGGTGACAGTCAGTTCAAGTATGCGAGTTCTCCATGGACTCTTCCCTAGAAATAGTCAACGTGTGGGGGTGGGCACGTAGACTTCAGCCCAGTCAGAGGCCGGGAAGTCGTACTGGCTGACGGCACCGGGAGCATGGGAACCACTGGAGAGCTGTGCCTCCACGTACGAGGGACACAGGGAGCCTAAGAGATCTGCAGGGCCACAGGTAACGGGGGAAATGGCTCCCTGGAGCAAGCCATGCAGTTGTCATTTCCTTGGCAAGACATTCCAGAGGCTGGGACGGAGGTGGGTGTGGGCAGTGTCTGCGCGGATGGATTTGGGATGATCCACTTTCTGCCATCTACTGTGGACCCAGCTAGAGGTTTACATAGGAAGTCAAGAACCCGCTGCTGGGAGGTCTGCCCTGAGTGACCAAATACGGCAGCAGCCTCTCCTTCCTGGGGGAGCGAAGCTGTTGGTTCGATG